AAAATCTCCTTTAGTTCTGTTGATAGAACTTGTCACTATTAATCTAAGTAAGGAAACTATTGAAATCAAGTCAAATGTTCAAAAGGTTACGTTCTAGTGTCTGCTGAAAAAAACCCACATTTTTGGTTATTGGCTTGAGCAAATATTATATTTTACACTACGAGGGGCCAATATTACCTCTTAGAAGGGTAGAGCGATTTTTTTAATATTCTTTTTTGAAAGATGCCGATTTGTTTTCGAAAACCGCAGCTCAAAAAGACTTTAATGCAACTTTCCTCCTCCTTACAGTTCATTGTAACAATAATATTAAGGTTTAGCGAACCCGAAGGTTCGATGCCGACATCATCAATCGATGTCTACATTCTTCCATTCACTGGGCTCCGTCTAATTCCAACCCCACCAGGTCAGCCTTAATGTAATCTTCCCATCTTCGCTTTGGTCTATCCCTCGGACACTACTTTTTAGGAATTCTGTCTTTGTTAAGTCCAGCGATTTTACTGTCCATTTTCTTCGCCTCAACTTAATCATCTTATATTAACCGGGTACATTTCACGCGATTCAGCATTATGTAACCGTATAAATTCTCCGGTAGACTCATTCTTCTTCGGTCCGAATATTCTGCCCAATACTTTATTTTCATAAACCTTAAGAGTTTGCTCATCCCTTAATATAAGCGGCCACGTTTCGAATCCATAAAGAACAGTAGGAACGATAATTGATTTTTTAATTCTGATATTTAAGTTTCGGGACAAAAGCCGAGTCCCGCCTTTAACCTAGCCTTAACTTCGTTTTCAATTTCGTTTTTTCTTTATAGTTTATCAACCTTTCCTATATAAGACCTCCCCTAGACCCAAAGTGTTAAAGAAAGCTATGTGTGAATAAACATAGCAGATATCTTTTTTCAAACAATTTATAATCAACTTATTTTTTAAATGTATTTCTGCCATTGAAGTTTGCTTTCCCTCTGATATGTGAACTTCATTTATGCATTAAATGTCCTTAAACGTAAGCATTACCTAAAAATCGAACCATCCTAATGAGGGATTCTTCACACATAAAAATGGTTAATTTTTCCTATTATAAGATAGGCATGTAATAGTTAAATGTTTTCTTAAAGTAAAATGACTAATAAAGAAAATTAAGTAATCATTATTTAATTATTAGTATTTAAACATTTTTTAAGAGAGCTCCCAGCGAGAGAAGCTCAGTCCCAGGTTTGAATCTCGGCTGATGGCGGATAAATTATTTATACTTTTTCATTGGCCGTGGATCGACTCTGTGGTCGGAAGACCCTTCTGGGGCACACCCAGCCTCTCTATAAAATGGGTACCTTTAATTAAATAAATTATGAACGGGGAAAACATGGCGGTTAAGCGTTGTCTCGGTCAAATCATCTCCGTACATAACCGTTTTACAGATTTTTTTTTTGTTTACAAACTATAGAGACAAATTTCAAAACCCTTTAACAACTTTCTCATAAGAATAATTTAACGCCTTCTCTCTATATTTTTTTTATATCCTTATTTACAATTTCTAGACAGAGTATAATTTGTATATATTTGTATAATCCGGTTTCAATATGTTCATAATAAAAAAATTAATTATCATTTCATGAAATATTGGTCGATTTTTTGAGGCATATAAAATGGAGGTTGGATGGAGGCATATAAACTGTTCCTTGGATTTTTTTAAATGAGTTAAATCTTTTCATAAAAGTTTTTCGATGTTTGAGCAGTATGGAGTAATTAATCAAAAACTCTTTATACTCATACTTTTTTTAATTGTTATTATTTAGAGGAAAACGTTTTTTTCTTGATCTTAAATTGAAATTCTTATAATGAACGTACGATTTTACTAAACAAAATCATCTTTCTTTTCATCTTCTTGTTTATTGAAATATCAGGATGAATTAATTAAAAATTATATCTAGTAATATTAATATTTATTTTCCATTGCTGATTTTTTGCTCAATCTAAGGCTAACTTCCTCCTATAGTTGTTGGCATCCTTGGACATTTCATTTAAATATATTAATATAAATAAATAATATAATGAATATTATAATTAGCCTGTAACTTGAGGTAGGCTAAACAGTTTTTCAGGGAGCAGATCGCAATTTTTCCCTCACTTGAAAGAACTTGCTCTTTCTCATTGGGCTTTCGGGCTGAAGCCCCTCTCCCCCAAAATGGTAAAATATAACCATGTTTTATGGAAAAATATATTAAAAAGTTATCTCTGAAAGTATTATTGTTCGTATAATTACATATAAAAGGACTTAAGGAATCACTTAAACACTATTTCATATAGATAGTTAGTTTCTTTCTTTTTTTTCCAAAGTAATTATCGTCATTTTTATAAAAAAAAAAAAAAAAGCTTTATGGCTGAAGACTCCCCAAAATTAAATCCTGGATCCGCTAGTGCCTCGATCACTTAAATTAGTTCCGTGATTAGCCGCTCACCATTACTTTGATAACGGTTATCGAGACACGTTAATTAGTGGAGATTCCAATTTCTTATCTTAAATCTGTAATATATATTAAAGATTATTATAACAAAACAGTTAATTTAAACTAAGCTCCCTCCCCCTGAAATATAATTTTTTCATCTAACAATTTCTCTCCCCTCACACAGCCATTCAAGATAAGTTCCAATCGGTTTAGTGACTCGGTTTACTCACTCGCGAGCTACCGCTCATAGAGGTGATCATTATGAATCAATTCACGGTTAGCTCATCTAGTTTTTCTCTTATATAATAAAAAATCACTTCTAATTAAAATTAGAACTTAATCAACACTAAAATTAATTAGATTCTTTCAAAAAATATTTAAAAATTCGTTTCTTTTCTTTATATAATAATTAAAAAATGGCACAAATCGTGGGCATCATTTCTGTTGACTGTTGTGAAATTAGTTGTGTAAATACAGATATTTGCAAATAATGAAAAACTTCAGGAGAATGTTCCTGTACAACTTTTCTTTTTTGTGTGTGTGTGTGGTCTGAATAAACGAATTTAATCTGAAAATAAGAATATAACCCGAGGGTGAGGAGAAAATGCTGCATATAATTTATTTTGAGATATTTATTTTGTCTGACAAAAACATATTGTAAATATTTTTTGCTTATTCATTTAGAAAACAAACAATATTTTACAGTATCGAATGCAATACTGTACAATACTACTAGATGCCTTTGTGTTACTCTTGAGGGTTTCTGTTGGATATCTTGAAACTTTTAGCAAAACAAAGCCAATGACCAGATTAGGAAGGAAACGAGTTCGATGGAGTTTGGAATAGAAAGGAGATGGAAGTTTTCTAAAATCGCTGTGATGTTACTAAACGCTTTATATTTCATATGTTTGCAATTGCATGAAAAAAAAAAAACATTGATAAACAAACACCAAGAAAGGAATCATTTTCATTCATTTTTTTTTCTAATTTGATTGCATCAAACCTTGCAATTGTATACATATAATTTAAATTCTTATATTCTTTAAGTTTTTTTTCAGAATTGAAGGTCACTAGTGTGAGAATCTCATACATTTAAATGGCTGTATAACTTCTAATATCTACCGACTTAACGTGATTATTTTAAGGGTCAATGCCTTACCTATCGAATGAATATCCAATCAGTAAGTAACTACTTATTCCATATCATCTCCATAAATATTGGTCTAAACCATTAACAATACTTAGTCAAAACTAATTGAATGAAATGGCATTTTCGTCATAAGAGAGAAACACTGTAGAAGGTAAAACATTTACATTGGTATTCAATTATTTTTAATTTAATTAAATTTACTAACTATATTTTAATGATTTAATACACGCTTCGGAGGCTCAAAAGAAGATGGATCAGGGATTTCCTCACCTAAAAATACACTGAATTCAAGTCAAGAAAGGATGCCGCTGGGCACTCCTTTCCCTCACGCCGTTCAAGCCACTATTAGTATTTTCCTGATAGCAGACTTGCTAATTATCAGTACTTCTGACAGATATAGGTAAAAAAAATTAATTAATTCCAAAATATTAAATTAATATATTTTAATTATTTAACTTAATGAATTCCAAAATATTCCTATTCAACAAATGCCTGTATGATAGATACTGTAAAATTTGTTAATGTTGAATCATTAAATAGGTATAATAAACCTTAGGTAATCCCATTAACAGATAACAAAACTAGTGGATCAAATCACCTTGGCCTGATATATACACAGTCTTTACAATAATATTGTCGCTAAGCCCAACCCGCTACTTTTTTAGTTCCATAGAAACTCAATTAAACATAGAAGCTTAAGTTAATCCTGTTTTAGATGTTGAAAATAAACAATCATGTGGTAAATCAAACATAAAAAAATAATTATAAAAGACGCTACTCGCAAATTTTATGATTAACTATGTTTATTATACATAAACTAAGTGGTATATTAAAACGGTGCGTGAAAAATCATTAATACAATTAGCGAAAGCTCTTAAGCCTGTATATATATAAAATGAGAATTACTTCCAATTATTTAAAATACAATTAAGGATCTACGGTCTCTGGCCATAACTTTTTGAGTCGCAAAATGGTCCCTATGATACCTGTTAGTCGTTCAAGCCTACTAAACACAGTGAAGAAGTAAATTCAGAGTTACCATCAGAACCGCTAAAATTTTTATTAGTGTCAGTTACTCACTTCTTCGATGTGTTTAGAAGCATTGGAAAATGGTTTCAATTTACAGTACTCATAATTTTTCGAGTCAACTCGTTATGGTCAGAGACCATAGATATAGCACAACATTCGAAAAACAAAACAAAAAAGATTGAAGTTCATAAATTATTGTGGATATCCACCATCTCGGGTAATGAATTCTTGCTGACACTTGTTTTTTTTTTTCAATTTTGATGCAGTCTTGATAGTTAACACATCTTTTTTTTTTTTTTTTTTTTAGCGCTATGATCGACCACTCCGATAGCATAAATAGTCCATGCCATTTAGAGACTAAATAAGAAAACGATTTTAAAAATTGACTACTAACTGAGACAAGTCGTAATAGACGGCCCCCTGCGGAATGCCATAGTCGTCCTCTTGTGCCGGGAGGATGAGGTGCGTGTAGCTGGGTACTTCCTGGGACCTGGCGACCATCCTCAACCCATCGTCAGTGTAGAACTGACTGGCCGCTGGGTTGGCCACGCCTCCTCCCCCACCACCTCTCTGGCCACGCCCCTTCCCGCCCCCGGCCGAACTGCCCCTTCTTGGGGGTTGCTGCCTTTGTTGCAATAAGGGTTGGTTAGTTTGTGCAATTTGATCGGGTTTGTTAACTTTCCAACAGCCGAGAACTATACTTTTCATGTGAACTATAGAACGCCGGGATTGGTGTTAAATAAATTATCAGCGATATAAAAGCACTGATTGTAGCTCATTTCTTAGTTAATTACGGGACGCAAAACAGTTCTTATTTGTTCCAAAACGTATCAGTTTAACTGTGTTACTTATCGTCAGTTTATAGCCAACATCGGGTATCTGGCACTCCATAACCTTAAATAATCAATAACTTTAATGAATTTTCTTTTTGTGAAATCAGAAAATTGTGCCCATGATGTAACTATATTTCATATATAAGAGAGCTTTGTGTCATTTTAGTGCACTTAATGGGATTTTTATCGATAAATAAGGTCGAAATTTAAAAAAAATATAAAAGTCGACGTTATACATTACATATTTTTATATATAATTATAGATTATATTTTACCGTAACAGTTGTATTAGTAAAACTTCTAACCGTTTGAGGGCACCATACCAGAGTATTAAACAAAAAAATTATATGATAACTTCATTACCAATAAAAATTACCATAATTTTCTTTAATCAAAAAAATTTTGTTTTTAGTGTAATTTTCTCTTTGTGGATTTATTTTTATTTTTTGTTTATATTGTGGATTTAAATCTTATTAATACACTAAAATTAAAAATAACAATTTATTAATGAATCAAAGTACAGAATATGGAAAAATATATATTTTTTTATTTACTTAATCTGTGTTCGGAAACATCGAATATTTATATTCGTTTGACTAATTTATAGCAAATAGAAACAAACATATGCTATTAGAAATAAATAATCAAAAATAATATTTATTTCTATTTTTTAAGGGATCCCTCGAAAATAAACCCACTCGTAAATTATTTATTTTTTCGAATTTGTTTTCAAATATATATATATATTTTTTTTCAATTTCATGAATTAACACCCACTAATATACCCAATTTTCATAAAATAAAAAAGTAAATTACTTTGAATCAGAACCTAAAAAATATTTTCAGATATTAGGGATAATATCCAATATTTATACAAATATATTCAAATAAAAAAATCCAAATCTCCCTAAACTGCATAAAAATATGATACATTTCTCTTGCATCTTCCATTATCAAGAAAAGAAAACTTTATTAAAATTCAATAAAACTTAAATTAATAATATTATATCTAACAAAATCACTCGAAACTATCATAAGTTTTAATGGCAGAATATATTAAATAAATAAAATTAAGAAAAACTTCACAATAATATTTATTTTATATGTTTGATTCTAATTTGTTTACGATGGTCGGGTTTATACTATTTCGTATAGCTTATAGAGGTTGATCGTATATTTTGTGGTTTTCGATGAAATTTCCGTTGAATGAAATTTCCAGCCTAGGCAAAAATTTTAATATTTTGATTGCTTTTCAAATCCATATTTAAGGGGTTTTCGAAGTGGCACAAACGAATATCAACTTTGTTTCTCACTAAAATTGTTTTAATTTTAGATGAGGCCTGTTAATATATATATATATATATATATATATATATATATATATATATATATATATATATATATATATATATATATATATATATCTGTCAGACAGCCAAAGTATGGGAACAACCAATTAGATCAACCGATGTAGTATTGTGGGGTAAATATTTTTTCAAGTAGAAACAGAGTTGATATTCGTTTTCCACTCCTCAGGAACTTCTTAAATACGAATATTTATGGCAATCGAAAAATTAAATTTTTGGAACGAATTTTTTTTCTAAGCCCTTCAATATTGAAGTTCGAATTCGACAACCACCAAAAAATGCGATAACTTCAAGACAACTCTACCGATTACCAACTGAAAATAATTAGAGATTTGAGGGTCTTTTTACTACACGAAATAGTATAAACCGTCGTAGACAAATTACAAGCAAAAATATAAAATAAAAAAGGTGTCAGAAGTTTTTCTTAATTTCTAGCCTGAAATGGAATGATATATAAAAGTTATTGATGTCTATTGGAAGATTAATAATTCACGTTTACGAATATAATCTGAGCCTTTCAGTTGACAGAATGACTAACTCTAATGTCAACATTTTTCATTATTAATTTTAGTTATGTTTCTAGTGGGAAAATGTATACCTTTGTTCACAGTTCCATATCTCAACACTGCAATCACCTACTCTGGAATCGACTTACTCACTGTCTGTACAGAAATTATTAATTTTCCATCTAGAAATATCACTAAAATTACTTTACTCAAAAATGTTGAAATTGGAGTTAGTAATTCTGTCAACTGGTAGGCTCATATGTATAAGTTGAATTTGAAGAAAACCCTTATACATAAGGAAGCCCCCCAAGAATGGTAACATATAACCATGTTTTATGAAAAAACTTATCTCTAAAAGTATTATTGTTCGCCTGATTACATTTAATAGGACTTAAATAATCACTTAAACGCCATTTCATATAGATTGTTAGTTTCTTTCTTTCTTCCGAAGTAATTATCCTAATACTAACATCCAAAAAAAAAAATATTTTGTGCTTAAGTCCCCCAAAATTAAATACTTGATCCGTTAGTGCATCCCCTCGAAGGCCTAGCTGTATGTTACACCGCTAACACAGAATACAACTGGTTTAACTCTTGAAAATTGTTCAAAATCAGAGACTATCACATCAGATTCAGATATTGACACGCAACATGCAGTGCAGTTTATATCTGTAACATATTGATTAATAATTCCATCGATATTATGTCATATCTTGGGTTCATTACACTGTCTTCGATAAAAGCATTACATGGAAGCTACAGGTCAATGTAAAACCTCAAACACCTATCATTGAATCAGATGTATATTCCTCATTTCTAAACCACAGAATTATGGATTTCAATTTTTTTTATGACAATGAAAATAATTTAGTATTATATGTGTTCACAATGAGAGGATGAAGGGACATAATTATAGAAATTAGCTGAATTTTAAAATACTACAAAATAAATATAATATTGCAAGTTATTTTACGGTTTTATATTAACTATTAATTTTATATAACTTGGAAACAAGTTGCCTTGGCAAAATTTGAATACGTGTTACCGGTTACGGTAACAGGGGTTATTAACGTTATGTAACTGGGCAGTTACAGCCCGAAACCAGTGCTAAATCAGCTGGACCCGGTTCCAGAAGGTGAAGGAACACGCCCCCGATACCGGCCCCGCTCAAGGCAAGGTCATGTGCCTCATCAAAACATTATCAGTGTGATAATGTGATAATACGGCACAGGTGGCTCGATTCGGTAGGCACAATTTTAGATTATTATAATGAAAATCTTTCTGGGCTATGAGGATCTCAGGAAATTCGGTTTACGAACATTCGTCTTATGGTCAAGGTAAATTAGTGTGCTAATAGCCGGATAATTTATATCTTGCACAATTTATCACAAGAAATATTAGGCACATAATATCTAAATTGCTAAAAAAAAAGATAACATTCAAAATCACACGTTTTTTTTAGCACATTAACCAATTCATCTTGTAAGCTTAATTATATTTATTTTTAAGCTCTTTGACACAACCTTTTGGCCTTGTTTAATTTTCTAAGGATTTAGTGTAATATTGAAAAGTGTAGCTTTTAATTAATTAATTTTAAATTAAAAATGGACTCTTGGTTTTGTGTTGAATATGGGAATAATTAATTATTTTTATTCAATAGCTTGTAGCAATAGTCCAGTTCCTATTCTATGTAAACAACAAAACTTCACCATGATCTTAATATCCCGTTTGTCCTAAACCTAATCCCTTAAAAAATCTCAAAATTTCACCAGAATATTTCGTAACATCTTAATCCCTTCCACAATTCCTATCTAGCTATCTCTATCTTTATATTGAAGTTTCGGCACTGGCCAGATTCTTCATTCAAGACGTGTGGATGTGGCTAAAGAACTCTCATTCAATCTCCCCTGGCTTTTAATACCAGTGACGCAGCGAAGCAAGTAAGAGCAGGGATCTTCTGGATATTCTCTCAGATACAGAGGGAGAAGCCTGATTTGGAGTTTCCTTACCTGTTTGTAAATACTGTATATAGGTATTCCTATATGACTTTACCTATCTTTAAGTTCTATTTTTCGTTATTGGGTATACTTTTTGATTATTATGTAATTATTATCTTATTTTATTGATTTACTCAACTATAAAAAACAATATATTTTAGTTTTATTACCCAAACTGAACGATAATTTCTCGAAGTTTTTGTGATCTATATGGCTACTTACTCCGATTGTTTCAGTACAAACTATCCGTAGTTCTTAAGATGTCCTGAAAATCAGTGATTGTTTTATCGATTTCCTCACTTCCTCTTCCGTAAATATGAGCAATAATGTAAATAAGGAAATACAATAAATTATAAACAAGAGAAATTAATTTCAGTTCTAAAAAGAAGAGCAAGGTACGTTCTCTCTTAGGGAGTGTTTACATAGACATGAATTCAACGCAACATGTGAACATGTTGAAATACAAACTAATGAAAAACAAACATTAGTTGAAGTGGCGGAATTAACAAAGATGGCCCATGGAGCGAATTTAAAAAAAAATTAAATATACGGACAACATACGGAAGCGGTTGCAGCGAAAAACTAAATTATTTTAAGGAAGGCTCTGTAAGACCTGCTTTAAGCAAACCAGTGAATTTTTTAAATGGTTTTGCATTTGGATTAAGATATCTCAGAAACTGAAAATCGGACTTCTATACTGTAAGCGAGGGAAATGTTCAGAATTTCATCTTCTTTGTAATGAGTTATATCTCAAAATTTTATCTTAGCGTGACGCCATATTAGAGAGACGGAAAGGGAAAAAGAGAAACAGTTTGGTTGAACATATGAATTAGAATATCTCATAAACTAGAAATCGGACCTGAATACAGTAAGTGAGGTAAATGTTTAGAATTTTATCCCCTTTGTAATGAGCTGTTTTTCAGAATTGTATCATAACGCGACGTCGTGTTAGAGAGACGAAAAGGGAAAAATAGTATCGAAAACCAACTGATAACGAGTTTATTT